AAATTCAGCAGTGAAGCCATCTGCTCCTGGTCTTTGCTTTGTTGAAAGGGTCTTTATTGCTGATTCAATTTCATTGTTGGTTATGGGTCTGTTGAGGTTTTCTATGTCTTCATGGCTCAATTTATGTAGGTTGCATGTCTCCATGACATACAAATGCATTTCTTCTAGTTTGTTGGCAAACAGCTCTTTGTAGTAATTTCTGATGATTCTTTTTATTTCTGTGGTGTCTGTTGTTACATTTTCTTTTTATTAATTTGGGTCTTCTCTCCTTTTTTTGTTAGTTGGGCTAATGGTGTGACAAATTTGTTTTTTTCAAAAAACAAGCTCATCCTTTTGCTGATATTTTGTATTTTTTATTCAATTTTGTTGATTTCTTCTCAAATTTTAATTATTTCTTTTCTCCTACTAATTTTGGATTTAGTTTGCTATTGTTTTTCCAGATCCTTGTGATGCACTGATAGCTCATTTGGTGTCTTTCCAATTTCTTGATGTAGGCACCAATTGCTATAAACTTTCCTCTTAACACTGCTTTTGTTGTATCCCATAAGTTTTGATATGTTGTACTGTCATCTTCAATTGTTTCCAGAAATGTTTTGATTTCTCTTTTGATTTCTTTAGTGATCCACTGTTCATTCAGGAGCCTGTTGTTCAGTCTCCATCTGTTTGCATATGGTCTAGAGATTCCTAAGTTGTTGATTTCCAGATTCATTACATTGCAGTCTGAGAAAATGCATGGTATGTTTTCAATTTTTTTGAATTGACTGAAACTTGCTTTATGGCCTAGTGTATGGTCAATAGTAGAGAAAGTTCCATGCACTGGTGAGAATAATGTGTATTCTTTGGCTGTAGGGTGGAGAGTTCTGTAGATATCTTTTAGATCCAATTGGTCTATAGCGTCAATTAACTCTGTTGTTTGCTTGCTGATTTTCTATCTGGTTGATGTGTCCATTGCTGAAACTGGGGTATTGAAGTCCCCCATTACTATTATATTTGAGTCTATTTTCCCTTTAGATCCCTTTACATTTCTTTTAAATAACCAGGTGCCCTGAAATTAGGTGCATATACATTTATAATAGTTATACCTTCCTGTTGACTTGATCCCTTAATCATTACACAGTGCCCTTCTTTGTCTCTTTTAACAGTTTTATGTTAAAGTCTATTTTGTCTGATATTAGGATGGTTATACCAGATTTTTTGGGTTTCTATTAGCATGGAAAAATGTTTTCCATCCTTTCACTTTCAGTCTGTGGTATCTTTGTTAATGAGATGTGTTTCTTGTAGGCAGCAAATAGATGGATTTTGTTTTTTAATCCATTCAGCCAGTCTCTGTCTTTTAACTGGAAAGTTGAGGCCATTTACATTCAAGAGGAGACTATTAATAAGTAACAATGACCTGTCATTTTTCCATAAATATTCTTTTTTTTTTAACTTTTGATTTCCTTTGTACTTTTACTAGGAAATTTTCTTCCTTTACTTTCTTTAATAGTGATGACCATGTTTCTGTGTTTCTCTGTGTAGCACATCCTTAAGCATATTTTGCAAGGCTGGATGGATGGTGACAACTTCTTTCAATTTCTGTTTGTTATGGAAGGTATTTATTTCACCTTCATTCATAAAGGAGAGCTTTGCATGGTACAGAATTCTGGGTTGACATGTTTTTTCTCTTAAGACTTAGAATATATCTCACCATTCTCTCCTAGCCTGTAGAATTTCTGGAGATCCTCTGAAAATAATCTGACATTTCTCTTGTGCACATTTTAGAATCTTCATGTTTTACTGTATAGAGTTTAATTACAATGTGTCATGGTAAAGATCTTTTCTGGTCATGTCTATTAGGAGTTCTATGTGCTTCCTGTAGTTGAATGTCCCTTTCTCCAAATTAGGGAAGTTTTCTGTTATTATTTTTCTAAAAAGCCCTTCTAATCCTTTCTTTCCATGACTCTGGAACTCCTAGAATGCATATATTGAGTCATTTGATAGTATCCTGCAGATAACCAACAGTGTTTCTTAGTTTCTAATTTCTTGTTTGACTGTAACATTTCCTGCAATTTGTCTTCTAAGTTATGTATTCTTTCTTCTGCTTCACTAATTCTATTATTATGACTTTCCATTGCATTTTTTATCTGTTCCATTGAATTCTTCATTTCCAAAATTTTTTTTTATTTCTAAGATCTCAGTTTTGCAGGAGAAACTTTCTTTCATGTCATGTATGGATTTCATTAGTTCCTGCATTTGATTCTGATTACTTCTAAGTAATTTACAATCAATTTTTTGAATTCCATTTCTGGAATTTCTTCAATCTCTTCGTCTTCACAATCTAGTGTCAAAGTGTTGTGTTCTTTTGAGTGTGGCATGCTGTCTTCCTGTGGGGAGCAATCCGGACTGGACTGAGTTACTGGAATTAAGACTTATTCTATGCATCTGCTCTCCCACAATATGGCGCTGGGAGAGAAGTAAACAGCTTCTACACAGCTGCCTCCAGTTCAGCTAATAAACTGTAGGACTTGCTCCTGATTGGAGGAGAGCAGCGTACTCGGCGTGTGGGCAGCCGAGTTAGGATTGGCGGAGGAGGACTATAAAGGAGGAGAGAGACGGCATGCACCAGGAACATCTAAGAGGAACATCTAAGGGGAACGAACACCTGTGCAGCCCCGAGAGAGCCGGCCGGCGGTGTGCCGCTCCCCTGCGGAAGTGGGGAATGTGGCCAGGGGGAACTGCCCTTCCACGGAGGTGGAAGGGATAGTAGCCAACCCGGGAAGAACCAGCAGCAAACCCGGGGAGGGCCGAGCAGACGAAAGAACAGCGCAGGGTCCTGTGTCGTTCCTCCACGAAGAGGGGGAGCGACATCTTCCTTATTCTTGTTTCTTGAATTGTGCTTTTATTATTTAGCATTTTTAGAGATACTCTTGGGTTTTTTCTTTTTTTTTTTCACTGTGGCAGCTTTTATCTTTGGACTACTCCTCTGTGGATTAATGGAGTATCTTATTTTTCAATGAATACCTAGAGGTGTGTGGTGGGTGTGGTCAGGTAGTTCTGTTCAGTGCTCCAAGGTGAAGGGAGAGTCCAATGTGATACCCAGGGTGGGCATGGTAAATTTTTTTTTATTAATCAGAGGGGAAGTTTGTTCTGCTCTGCTGGCAATAGATTCAGCTCACCTCCTCTCCTCAAGGACACCAATGCCTGGGCACTAGCCCCCTGGGCATAATGTTCATCTGCACTGCTACAAGAACCAAAGGATCTGTGCAGTCCTTGGTGTAAGAAGATTCCACAGCAATGTCCATCACCAGGGAACCACGGAGCCCTGAGCATGTGGCACCTCCCTCAGTGACTGTCCGAAGTCCCAACCAGACCCTGAGCCTTCCCACGTATCCTCATTGTTTTCACAGTCCCAGCACACAAGCTCCCACAGTCAGGAGAACCTAGCCCCCTGTCAGTTCTCCTCACAAGATTCAGGTGTCTCCGCTCGGCTGAATGCTGGGCACGGACATGAGCTGGCACAGCTGTTACATATGTCCAAAAATGCACCTGCTCTCTATTGGATTGCTACAGGATGCCATTGCAAAGTGATCGGGGAGAGAGAAACCTGCCCCTCCCCTCTTTTTTCACCTCTAGTTTGGCAGGTACACCATCTCCCACAGGGCTCCAGGCCGGATTCCCTCCAGGCTCTTCCTGCAGCTTTGTTGCCAGTGGCTTGGACTTCTTCAGACTGGTCTCACCTCAGTTTCCAAAGCTGGTGCAGAGGCTCTCACCTGCTGGGGTCCTGAGTTGTGTGTTTCCACACCCTCTGCATAGGTTCACAGTGTCCCTCTGATTTGCATGGAGTTTCCTATGCCATTTTCTCCCTAACTCTTCCCTGAGACTCCACTCTCTCCACTATGTTTAAACTATCTTCTCCTAGGCTAGAGCAGTAAGCTCCCTCCCTACTCCGTCACCTTAATCCCTCTCCTAACTTGTTTTACTAAAGAGTCATTTCTTTCCAAGAAGTCTAGCAGATAAATTATCCATGCTCTTTATATATTTAGGTCTGCTTCTTGGCTTTATCAGTTTTATAGCACAGTATCGTAATTATTGAGATTTTATAGTATTTTCTTACCATATGAAAGTACACACATCCCCAGTCCTCAGATAGTCAATGTTTCCTTTTTGCACTCATCCTTCAGTTCCTGAGTGTTTTATTTTTTATTTTCCTCTTTTGATGCTCACATCATGTAAGAAAGAGAAGACTTCAGCATTTCATATCAGAGGCAACACCAGAGCTGAAGCAGAAAGGTCAGTGAAGGTTCAGATGGGATTACAGGACAGGCAATCACATGCACGACTCATGAATAGAACTTCCTCCCAAAGAGGCTTCTTCAATGTCTTAGTGTTTACCCGTGCTATGATGGACACTTGCCCTGTCCTTCCTGGGTTAGGGTGGGAGAAACAAACAAGTAAAGACGCAATTGCCTTATTTCAGGTTCAACTGTTATGCTAGGGGTGAGTATAGTGTTCTCCCCTGAGAACACACATCTTGAACAAGCCTAAAGTCTGGCTTAGATAACCACAAGGAACCTGGCCACACTTTCAGATGCCACAAAGAACATATTGTGAAAGCCTCCGTCCCTTCTGCAAAAGGGTCAGGACTGTCCATACATCAAGCCCCATAACAGGGCAGCCGGCCCAGTTCTGAGCTATGCTGGTAACATACTATAACTAGCCCCTGTAACCCCTGATTTTATTAGTCATACAACAATACAAAATATAAATACTAAATAATTTATTTAAAGAACTTTTCTATTGAAAATATCATGCATCATTAATTTTGTCCTTGATGGTGAGATGCAAGCTGAATTGTTTCTATCTAATTGGCAGTTCCTGTCAACAGCTTATTTTCATTAGTAGGCACTTGTCATTGCTTTTCTTGATGCAAAGTAAACATCATAATGGTTCAGAATGTTTTTAGGCCTGGAATGAGATTTTTTGTTTCTGACTCCAAACAGAGGTAATTTCATAAACAACCTCTTAAGGAATATGAACTAGACCTTGCTATTCATAAAGTGGTCCTCAAGAGCTTCTAAGAAATACAAAGTCACAGGCCCCATTCCAGGCCTATTATAAGAATCTTTAACAACAACAGTAGATAGAGAATAAAGAATTATTATTTGATATAGAGTGGCAAGAAAAGCCCATATTCAAGCAGAGACATGAAGGAAGTGAGGAAGCAATTCATATAGAAATGAGTAGAGTGCTCCAGAGAGAGGACACTAAAGGCAAAAAAGCCCCGGGGAGGAAGAGCACTTTGTGGCCACGAAACAGCAAAGAAGCCACTGGAGCTGGAACTGAATAACTTCCGAAGTAAAGGACAGAAGCTGATCACACAGAGGTGTCAAACTATCGAAAGGTCTCTGGTTCTGCTGAGTTCAAGTGAGACAGAAAGCCACAGGTAGGTTATAAGCGATTTAACCACATAATCTGATTTAGTGTTATAGGACCTGTCTGGCTGTTATGTGAAGAATAACTGGACATGGTAAGAAGCAGGGGAAGGGAGGATCAGCAGGAACAGGGAGACCATTTAGGAGGTGATGGTAATAAGCCAGTAGGAAGATGGTGGCTTCGATCGAAAGTGGCAATGCTGGGGACTTTGAGCAGAAAACATTCAACAAGTAATCTTCCCATCTTCAATGCCAACTGCTTTTCTCATGGGAATCTCATCCAATTTATAGCCTTAGGAGCTTAATCTAGGGACTGCCTAACCTATAATTCTACCAAATTCTAGGTGATTTCTCCAAAGAAATACTTGAGGTCTGATTTCCATACGTTTCATCTGCTTGACCTCTTGAGAATTTCTAGAATGTGCCAAATTCCTAGAATGCCCCATATTCTTCCTGAAGACAGTTCTAGAATCTGTTGATATTATACCATAGGATCCAAATTCATGCAATTTGTAACAGGCGGAGTAGCACAGCACATCAGACATAGGCAGAGCACCACCCATGTTCCCTCTGCACTCAACACCAATGATTCTTCCCCTACTGCATTTATAGAGTGTGGCCCTTGAATGGGGCAGACCACAGAGACACACGTTCTCCTGGGCAATCCTTTCAATGATGAAAGCTGGAGGGTAATACCACAGGGTATTTTACCTCTTGTGTGGAACCATGTTGAAGAATGTTCTATATTATCTCTCAATAGAGTATCGATAACCTTTTCATTAATACGCTTTGTGTTGGTTTCCTTTCCTTCCTCATCTAATTTTCCTACTCCTCTAACAGTGTTTCCTGGCACTATCTTCAAACTAAACGATGTGATTCAAATTTTCATCTGCTTCCAGAGAAACTCAACCTATGTCAAGTGGTAAAAGTGTAACAGCAGAGAGCTACACTTCTTAAAAGGTTTGTAAACAAACGAATACTTATACTTCATTTTAAACAGGATGGCAGAATAGGGAGCCCAGACATTTCTTTCCCACCACAGAAATGTCACTTCAACAACATATGAATCAATTTCTTTGTAAGAAATCCATTAAATAATTAAGTGGCCTTTGTACTCCCAGTGAGTTCAGATTGGCCACATCAAAGCCAGTAAGAAAATGTGTGGCACCCTTTCTCCATAATCTCTCCCATGACTCAGTACAGAGCAATGAGAAGAACACACCCAACTCCTAGCTTCCCCTGAGGAAGGAAAAATAAGACTAGCATATATAAAATGTGCAGAATATTCAAGGTCTTCCCATTGATGGGTTTCTTTCTTGCTTGAATCTAAGTACTGATAGAAAAAGGCACCAACTTAGAGGGTACTAAAAACAAAGGCAAAGATTTGGACTAGCACTTTTCCACTCACCAAGAACTGTTAAAGTGTGCATGCTTCTCGCAGTCACCTACAGATTCAATGTGACCTCTATAAAAATCAAAACCAAAAGTGTTTATTTATTGCAGAAATAGAAAAAAAGATCCTAAAATCCATATGGAACCACAAAGGGTCCCAAATAAGCAAAACAACCCTGAGAAAGAAGTCTCTTACTTTGTGACTTCAAATCATATTACAAAGTTACAATAATTAAAAGAGTATAGACAGACATAAGACCAAAATATAAATGAATGGAACAGGGAAGAAAGCCAAGAAATAAAACTATATGAGGTCAACTCATTTTCTACGAGGGTGACAAGAATATACACAATAGAAAGGTGAAATTTCTTCAATAAATAGTGTTGGCAAAACTGGGTAAACATACTCAAAAGAATGACATTGGACACTTATTTTACACCACACATAAAAATTAACATAAGGGGGCCAGCGCTGTGGCATAGCGGGTAAAGCTGCCACCTGCAGTGCTGGCATCCAATATGGGCGCTGGTTTGAGTTCCAGCTGCTCCACTTCTGATCCACCTCTCTGCTATGGCCTGGGAAAGCAGTAGAAGACAGCCCAAGTCCTTGGGCCCCTGCACCACCTGGGAAACCCAGACGAAGCTCCTGGCTCCTGACTTTGGATCGGCTCAGCTCCAGCTGTTGTGGCCATATGGGGAGTGAACCAGTGGATAGAAGACCTCTCTCTGTCTCTCTGCCTCTCCTTCTCTCTGTGTAACTCTGACTTTCAAATAAATAAATAAATCTTTTTTTAAAAAATATATACCTGTATTGAAATATCACATGATATCCCATAAATATGCATAATTATTCTGTGTCAGAAAGTTAAAATAAATTTCAGAAAGTAACTTTACAACCAAAAAAAAAAGAAGTTTCAACTGTGCTTTAAAAAATCTAACTACTTTTCAAAAAGTTCATCAAGACAATTTCTTTCCTAGTCTATGCTCCTATACTGAATTTTAAGTTTGGCACTCTGTAGTTCTACATGCCTCAAGCAACGTGGCTGACAGAAACCCATGCATGCATCATGCCCTCAGTCATATGATGTAATTACCAATAATCCTAATTCTGGGTTATAGTTTGCTTGTCAGTAATTACAGCCGCAGTCGAATGCTTTTAGCATTAACATCAGCACAGAATTGCAGCTCCCTTCCCATCTTAGTGAAATGGAACTGTGAGTACATTTCAGAGAAGGTTTGCTGCTTTTTTGCCTGGAACAATTTTTAATTGGGTATCATTTGGAATCTTCTAAATCCCATTTTGGAGCTTCTGGTCACTGCGTTACTTATTGAAGCCCTAAAAGCTAGTTACGAGGCATCCCTCAACTGTACAATGTCAACACAAAAATTGCCATCATCTCTGCATTCTTCAGAGAATGATAAGGGACATCATCTTGACCTTTTTTAAATATACACTAATAGAAACCAAAGATAGAAAAGAAGTCTGAGAAAGTATTCAAAAATTCAGGATTGAAATTGTACTTCTAATTTAAGAGTTCTCCATCTAGTTAGCAGGGCTTAAAATTGTTGAGTTTTTCAGAAATCCAAAAACTATGTAAATGTACAATTCTGGTATAGCCACCCAAGTTTCTAACTAGAAACCTTAGTCAGCTTTATCTCCTCCCCACCCACATCCAGTGAGTCAACAAACTCCACGCATGCTACCTCTCTGATTTTGGTATCTACTCCCCCTCCCTCACCTCCACTATGGCTGTAAAAGCAATTAAGGATCTCATTACTTCTCCAAACCCTCCTACACACAAACACAGGAGATGGCTTCACAAAACACAGATTGAGCCTGATTTTCCTGCTTAAAAAAATATGTGATGGCTGCCTGTAGCACAAGACCATGTAAAAATCTTAGCTTGCTACTTTCTACTCTTCAACAGCTTCCCAGACTTCCCTCTCTCATCCCCTTCAGCCCCTTAGAGCCCACCCACAAAGCTAATTATTTGTCATCCAAAAAACTCTAAGGGCTCCGTGCACTTGAAAACACTTCTACTAGTTCTTTTCTCTCCCAGGAATTCCCAATTTTACATATTGAAACCCTATTCAACTTTTAATATGATGCTCAAGCATCATCTGTGAATTTTTTTAAGATTCATTTATTTATTTGAAAGGCAGAACTACAGAGAGAGAAAGAGAAGAGACAGAAACAGAATCTTCCATCTGCTGGTTCACTCCCCAAATGGCTGCAATGGTCAGGGCAAGATGTGAGGGTGATCTGGCTGCAACGTCTGTCACCCCATTGATCGCCAGGGTCGATTTGACTGATCTGTCTGGCTAGGCGGGTGTCCCCGTCCTCCCTCACCGCTCCATGTGCATCCTTCCCAAAGCTGCACGCTCGGTCGAAGAGGATGACCTTCCCCACTAGAGGAGGACCAGTCTTCGCTCAAGGGTGTACAAGTGGCTGCGCTCCCCTGCTAGAACCTCCAAACAAGCTCTCAAGGGCCAGACCAAAGCCAGGAGCTAGGAGTTTCTCCCAGGTCTCCCACATGGATGCAGGGACCCAAGCACTTGGGCCATCTTCCACAGCTTTCCCAGGTGCATTAGCAGGGAGCTGGATCAGAAGTGGAGCAGCTGGGATGAGAACTGGCTCCCATATGCTTGCACCATAGGCAGCATCTTTACCCACTATGCCACAGCACCAGCCACAATCTGTGAATCTTTCACAACCCACAGTTGCACTGTCATTCCTACATGCTTCCTGGAACATCAATTTAGTCATATGTTCACTTTTTTATTCACTAAATCTTCAAGTTCTGAGTTCAAGAGTTCTGATGATATGATCATATAATGGAATCATGGTTCCTGCCTCTGGAAGCCTATCTTTTTGTTGGCTACTTCTACCACAAATATCCTAGTTCATTGTCTTCTAACCCCTATGAAACTAGTGTTCCGTTTCCTTCATAGGACCATTGGTCCAATGTACTATCTTTTACATTTTCTGTATCTACAGACCTATCTTAAAATAAAACAGTTGCTGGTGCAAATAACTTCCAAGCACTAATGGAGATGATGTACAAGAAGCGTGTATCACAGAGACTAGTACCTAAAAGTTCTAATTAAATAAAACTCCTCTTCAGCTTAATTTGAGTAGACCTTCGTTCTTCACATTCAAAATAAGGTCATCTTTATTTGTGTTTGATGGATTATTCTGGAAAGAACTCCCAACAAAGCAAGCTTTTGCATCTGACCCATCTCCCTAAAGGATTACCATTCAATCAGTGTTATCAGGGGCATTTGCAAATAGGAGTGGACAAGGTAAATGTTCAGATGCTAGTAAAACTTGAAAAACAGCTGGGTGGTATAGGATCTGGATTTCAGGACCAGCTCTGATACGAACATCTTCTGGAAAATCACTTCATTTCTTAGTTATTTAATTTTCCTATCTTTTAGGGATGAGGATATTAATACCTCCTTTACCTCCCTTGAAGAGTTTTGTGGATAAAAATGTAATATCTATAAAATTAACCTGGAAAAAGGCAAAGGCTTATCAAATTGAGGTGGTACTTGTAATAGTAAGAACTCGTGCAACACTCCCATCACAGAACCATCTCCCAGGGATGTCCCCAAGCATACACGAGGCTGCTTGGTAAATTGATGCACATATGGTCAGGGATTTAGTGACAAAAGATAATAAATCCTCTCCAAGTCCTCCTGGGGTAGATAAGGAACAAGTATAGCCAGCCCTCAGTGACCTGAGATAACAAGGCCAAGGGTAATATGGATAAACGGATTTCAAAGATTATCCAAAAATATAACTTTCACCATTTATGACCTCTAAACTTTTGCAAAAATTCCCTAAAAGGAGCCAAATTACTTTCACCTGGACTTATAACCTACATGAATTTCACTGCCAGTTCCTACCCCTTCCCATGTCCAGATACAGCTGCAAAATACGAAGGAACAACTGGTGGAAATGCTGGGACAGACGCCACACATAATACTGATCTACCCTTGAGAACTGGGTACATTTTGTTCCCAGGGACCTCCGGGCTGCTGATCTCCACATTCCTGGGGCAAGGAAGAAGCAACCAGGGCCTGCTAACCCAGGAATCCTGTGACCTCAAACCATGGTGATTTCCCCAAGCTGCCTGCAGAGCTTGTCCCTTTAACTAGTCCCCCAGCAGCAGTGAAATCAAGCCTTGTATAGTTCCTAGCCCAGAACTTTTCTGCAAATGTTTCCAAAAGCCTGGGCGAGAAATGGCTTAGAAATTCAGTAAATCTGCTCTTTGAATTATTCAACAATTCTTTCCCTGACAATCCCTATGAGGGAGTTGCCTTGCTGCCATTTCTCATTATGATAGCTTTTCTTTCCCTTCTTTTTGCCACTTTTCCTGAAATATTGGCAAGATGATTCAAAAACACTATGAAACCACCTTGGGAAGGACCTTCCACATAACAGCAGCCCCATGGGTTACCTGTAGTGAATCTTACCCAGCAGCTCGAGAACAAAATCTGGGCAGGTGGAAAAGCAGGAAATCACTGACACCTTCTTGATAGGGTTGAGAGTGACATTAAGGTAA